CAGCAAACTTTAAGAAAAACAAAGTACAGTATAACTAGAATCAGACCACTAGGATGCTTATAATTCTAGAGAAGGGGAGACTCCTGGGGGCAGAGAGAAACCTGAGAGCTGAAATCAAACACGTGAAGGATTGTTATATAGAAGAAAGGAGAGCTTTGCTCAGTACTGCTCTAGAGAGCAGATCTAGGGCCATGGAATAGAAGCTGTAGGTGGGTGATTTCAGCGGCACATAAACCAGCGTTTGCTGAATGTCAGCACTCACCATGAAGGTGAGAAAGTGGTGAGTTTCTCATCAGTGGAGGTGCTCATTAAGTGAACAATCACTTAACAAGGATATTGTCAAGGGGGTTTTTTCACTGGACAGGGGATTATTCCAGATGACCTTTGAGGTCCCTTGCAGGAGGCTCAAGATCTGGACCTTTCTGGGAAAGATTAGTGTTACTACATTAAAATTAGGAAGTTCTAAAAGTGGTATTCTTAAAGGAGTCAAAATGCTCTCGAAATCAACACACACACACACACACACACACACACACACACACACACACGTACCTACACATAATCTTCCTCCGACCAGCCCACCCCTGTGGCTATGTGCATGAAGTTTCCACTTTAGTCACTCATTGGATTGGGCATTCAAGGTTCTTGTTCAAATGTAATTTTTTACTAGATGAGGTATGGCTTTAAGCAACCTAGCTGTTATCATCGTCTTCTATCACAGTGCCTGGTACATATTCATTGAATGTTTATTATCCACTTGAGATTGTACAAGTTTATCAAATTAAACTGACTTTCCTTAAAGGACTCTGAAGAGATGGACAAGTAGACAGATAAGCTTGGATAAGGGCAAGACGTTACAAGGGTTTCACCATTCAAACTCAATCCTCATGGCACAGAGGGCAAGCCACACACAGATCCCATGTCCATTTTTTTAGTTACATGGGAAGCCAGGCTTTCCTTCTCACAGACAAAGTCCTGAGCTGGGCAACGATCTGGGCTGGGATTTGGTGAGAATACTTTGCATCCTGGCCTTCTGCCCGGCCCATTGATGTAGCTCTTTAAATCGCATCAGTTAAAACCACAAATGTCACAGATCCCATTAGACAAACTCCTCTGGCTAGCAGCACAGAAAGGAAGGAACACGATAAGCCCCCTGAGGCAGCCTGATTGACCATTCCTAATCTTTCATGCTTGGGGGACTACACTGGGAGTAGGGTTCACTCGTAGAATGGCACGAAGTGCTGGCTGGTTTCATTTCATTCAGTTAAGCATACACCTCAAGGCCAGTGCATAATGATGGGAAAGCCAGCCTCACCTCCTGGCTTAGGTTAATGGCAGATGAGTGCAGTCTGCCAAGTAGAAAGGTAAAGGGTGACGGAAGGGAAACTTCCCTATAATCCATCTTCAAGAGATGCCAGAAATTCCATCATTAGTTACTTATTCCCAGAATAATGACAGAGTAGGACTAATAGCAAGCATATGGGGAAAGAATTTTTGTTGCTTTCATTATTATTACTATTAGAAGCAGTAGTAGTATTAGTGCTGCCCCAGTACCTGGCACAGTGCCCAGGACATATTAATTATTCAGAACTGTAATAATTATTTTATTGCACTGGCTCCTGGCATAGTGCCTGGCACACAATAGGGCACCGATTGAGTTAGTTCCCTTTGTTCTCACCTTTCCCTGGGATACATTTGCCTTTGGTTTCCCCCCAAGCCGCACCTTGCTAAAGTGGGCACAGACCTTCCTGTAGCAATAATGCTTAGCCCAGCACCACAAGTGACATCATATGAGAAGACATCTAGCCTTCTCTTCCATGTTAGCCCCTTAAGTGGCAAATGGGCAACAGGTGCCTAAGGTCATTTTTTTTTATATGGGGAAAGAGAGGTTTTGAGCTATTGCCTTATAATTTTAGTTTACCTCTAGTCCCTGTATCCTATCATAGCCTTAAAAATATGCCCCCACCACTATCTCCCAACTAGGCTATGATCAATCTCACCACCTTTGTTCGTGTGGTACCTGAACTACCCTCATATTTTTACACGAAATTCATCCTCCAAGGACTGGGTAACAGCTACCTTCTCCATGAAACCTTCTCTGAGACTTCCAGCCTCACAGAGCCCTTTCTGAAATTCCAAAGCATCAAATCAGTAGCACACAATTTAGCCCTTCATTCTGCACCAACCTCCTCAGCTAGATTGTATTTGCTCGTCAAACATCCATCTGTTGAGCACCCGTCATGTTCCAGAGCCTGTGTAAGTGCTAGGAAGGCAGGAATCAAGGTACTCCTACCCGAATGGCAGGAAGACAAACATGCAGTTGAGTGACATTGGAGAAACGTGATCTGAGTGCCAGTGGGGAACTCAGAGGGAGATTGGCTAACTTTCTGAAGGTCTTGGGGGAAGGCTTCACGGAGAAGGGGACCTATGAGCAAGGTGCTGAAGTAGAGAGAAGTTAGTTAAGTGGAGAAGGTGGGATGAAGCCACATGCAAACGCATGGTCATGAAAGGGCAACTCAGAGAACATGACTCAGTACGGCTAGAACTTGGGGAGAGATGGAGAGAGATGAGAGAATATCATGGAAGGTTTACTCATTCATTCATCAAATATGTATCCAGGGTGTGAAAAACAGGACAGATGCAACTGCACTTGAGCTTTAAAGCAAATTGGACTGAACAGACGATTACCCAGGAAGACAAAGAAATATGTCTATGTAACTAGAAATTCTGATTAGCATCAAGAAGGAAGAGAAAAGGCTCCAATGGAGAGAAGAATATGAAGGAACTACTTTATAATACAGGGTAGTTAATTAGGGCTTCTCTGAAGAGGTGGCATTTTGTTGAGGCTTGAAAGATGAAAAGAGCTGGAGAAGAGTATTCCAAGAGGTGATCCAAGGTCTTGAGGTGGGAGGAAGCTTGACATATTGGAAGAACCAAAAGAAGCTCCACAGGGCTAAAGAATAGTGGATAAGGGTGTAAGAGTGGCTTAAGATGACATTGGAGAGGCAAGCACAAGCCAAGACCTAGTAGAGCTCAGAAAGGAGTGTTGATTTCATCACAAGAGCAGCGGGATACTAACCAAGGAGAGTGAAACGGGATCAGATTTGTGGTTCACAGGATAACTTGGGGGTGGTGTGGAAGACGATCTGGATGGGGAGAGAATGGAGTCAGGATAACTAATTATGAGGAGGTGGAATGGTCCAGGTGAGAGAGAATGAAGGCAGGGACCTTTTCTTTCTTCTGTTCCAAAAGTGACTAGCTCAGTGCTAGGCACATGGAAGGCTTCCACTGTGTTCATATTGATTAATTAAATAAATATAAACTGAATTGGGTTGTTGAGTCTCTTTTCAGGAGGTCACACTGTCCCTTCTTTCTCCTCCCTTTTTTCTTTATAACGGAGACAAGGAGGAATTCTACAATTAGTATCATTAAAGTGATTTGCTGTTTAGTGACAAATGCTTCCTCTAAACGCCACTTTCCTTTAGTCATTGCTGAGTTACTTCAAAGTAGCACAAGAAAATATCAGTGCTTCTCAAGACAGCCAAGCAGCACTCTGCTCTCCTGAGAGTTGGATGTAGAGAGAAATTTGTCATTTGGGCCTGTTCAGGGCAAGAGGCAACACTAACCTTCAAATACCAACTTCCCAGAAGATCACAAGCACATGAATTGCAAATGCCACTTGGTATAATATATGCCTCTCACTCTGCCAAAGCAGAGATATAATTACCTGGAAGAGTAAGGCAAATGTTTGTGGAAGCTGCACGTCTTCATCTGCTCTTATATCCAGGAGATGAGACGAGAGGCCCTTTATCACATTTCCATCTCTTTTTGCTGGCAAAACAGTTCGGTAATGAAAGACACTTAAATGGGTTCATCCAAACTCAGCCTCCAGAGGGTTCTGGAGGTCCCAAGGATGGTAGGGAAAGGAGAGTCAATCACCTAATGGGTCTGAGCCGCATCTTCTCCCATGGGGAGGGTAACCATTCCCATCTTATAGGGCTAGTACAAGGAGTCAATGAGGAATGTGCATGAATTTACTCTGCAACCTACAAGGCAAGAGCTCTATACTGTGATTCATCCTATGCAATTAATGGCAAAGTCTGTCTTTTATTCTTGGTCTCCCAGAGAAAGTTAAACATATTGTAGGAACTCAATAATAGGTTTTGCTTTGAAATCACTTCTGTTAAAATCTGGCTTTAGATGTGGTACATGTAAAACAGGCCGTTCACTTCTCATAATTGAATCAGACAGATTCTCGTATCTGTCAGCTGCTTGGTTTAGAATCATGGAGGAGAAAAATCATGTGGGCAGAGGGGGTAGTGGCTTAATCTGTTGGAGTCAATACCCCTTCCCCAGTGAGCAGCAATAAGAATGTTTCAGTTAGCACTACAGCAGTGTTTCAGTCCAGGATCTGCATCTGGGGCAGCTGCAAATGTAATCCTACAAACTAGCACAGGCCCACAGGCCCGGGGTCCAAAGGAAACTGGCCAAAGATGAGGTCCAACTTTGCATCACCAGTCAGAAGTAATATCACGAGTATTTCCAGACAGCAGAAGGGAAGGAAGAAACTAACTTGTGCCATGTCTCAGGAGGCTTCCTCTGGGCCAGTTGCTTTAATCAGTCATTGTCTCATTTAACTCCCACAGTAGCCTTGAGGTGGGAATTAGTGTTTAGTGTGGAGCCTGGCACAATTAGTATTATTAATATCGATAAGCTTAATAATAATAAACTGAAACACCGTGAGCTTGAGTAACTTACCTAAGGTCGCAGACCTGGTAAAGCCAGGATTTGAACCCATGTCTTTCTGACCCAGAAGCCAGGGCTTTTTCTGCTATACTCCTTTGCAAGAGGAGAAAGATTGTGGCTTTAAAACAGGTGAGGATTTTCCAAGTCATTAGCAAGGCTGCCTCCATAACTGGCCACTTGAGACCTGCAGGTATCTAAGAATATCTTTGGTCTCCCTCTCTCTCCTCATTCAGGTTTCTAAATTGCTATGAACCATGGCCCAGCTGTACTACAAAAGGGTCAACTACTCACCCTACAGAGACCGAATCCCCCTGCAAATTGTGAGGGCTGAGACGGAGCTCTCTGCAGAGGAGAAGGCCTTCCTCAGTGCCGTGGAGAAGGGGGACTACGCCACTGTGAAGCAGGCCCTCCAGGAGGCCGAGATCTACTACAATGTCAACATCAACTGCATGGACCCACTGGGCCGGAGCGCCCTGCTCATTGCCATTGAGAATGAGAACCTGGAGATCATGGAGCTACTGCTGAACCACAGCGTGTACGTCGGTGACGCATTGCTCTACGCCATCCGCAAGGAAGTGGTGGGCGCTGTGGAGCTTCTGCTCAGCTACAGGCGGCCCAGTGGAGAGAAGCAGGTAAGAAGCCCCCACAGCCGGGGAGGTAGCCAGGGACAACAGAGCACCGCAGGGTCAGAAGCCTTGAAACTAAGGAAGGTTATAGGCGAGCTGCAGTTGAGAAGCCCTATCATGGCAGCCCTCTGCTCTCAAGAATAGCATCAGTGATCTCAGGTGGGATCTTAGAGCTACCCCACATGGCCCACACTGAGTTTTACTCATTTGCTTTTTCCTTATTAGTACTTGCCCATATACCTTCAACACTCGACCTAAAAGCATCTTCTCTGTTTCCAGAACAGTCAAGCTCCTTCTACCCTCCCTACCCCCTGCTCCACATCTTCATTTCCTTCCTCACTGAAAGGGGGGACAAGGAGAAACCAAACACAGACCTGAGCTTTCCCCTGCTCACCCACTCTCTCCTGAAGAAGGACGGGAGGCCCTTCAACTTGAGTGCCACGGCACAGATGCAAATGGATACAGGGGCCTACACACCTCTCCAGTTCCACTCACGTGAATGCATTCCACCCTCAGACGTTCAGGGGTTTGCCTCTGTGATTCTCCTGTCCTCTGAGGCACCTAGGTTTAACACACTGGAGTCATCTCCGAGTCCTTCCTCTGCCCTGTCTCCATGCTCCAGCCCCAAGCCCTGCGAGTTCTTCCTTCCCAATATCTTGTATTGATACATACTGAACAATGATACTGGCTTATTCTTTCCCAGATTGCATAACGATCCTGTCATTCCTGTCCATCCTTTCAGTGACTCCAATGTCTCTTCATTAGAAGAGAAACCAGCCCATGAAGCCTAGCACTCAATACCCTTCATTAATGGTCTTTTCTAGTCCTGTCTCGCCCTTAGTCCCTTCTAAACCCCTCAAGTTAGGTCTCCACTGTCTCTCTTCCTTTGGAGCACAGTAGGCGCATGTAGTAGGAACAAAGAAAATACAGTCATCAAACATGGAATACCACAATACATGAAAAAGTAGAAATAGTACAAACCAAAACCAAAATTGCAAAGTGCTTAAAAAATACCGATAATGAAAACACTCAACATCAAATCGTATGGGACATGACCAAAGCTGGGTTTAAAGGGGATTAATAGCTTTAATACTTGCCTAGTTAAACAAGGAGGAATGAAAATAAGCTAGCTGATAACTCGCAGACTAGGAATTGGAATTGATAGAGCAGAAAGCAAGGTACTAGATTAAAAGTTCCTTGGGTAAAGGGCCTGAGTCAACATTTAACACAGTGCCTAGAGAGAAGAGACCTTATCTCTCTTCTTCACTGCTGTATCCCAGCACTGGGAAAGTGCCTGCAATATCAAAGGCACTCAGTAAATATTTATTTTATGAATGAATAGTATGCATCCGCACTGTGCTAAGCATTTTACACGATTTAATCCCCTCAGCTACTCTGTTAGGCAGGCACTGTTATTACTGTCCCCATGATACTGATGAGACAAATTGAGCCACTGGATGGTTAAGTCAGTTGTTCAAGGTCACAATAAATGTCAGAGCCAGAATTCAAACCCAGGCAGCCTAGCTCCTAACCCCACCCGCTTAACCACTAGGCTATCCTGCTCTCCTGGAAGTCTGAGTTAAGTCTGAGAACTCCCAGCACAGGAGTTCCAAGACAGGATAGATGAGTGGAGGATGGATGACCTCTCTGGAAAGGACATGCCTATAGGATTTGGATATATAGCTAAGCAGAGAGGTGTAAGCATGTTCCCTACCCAGTCCACGTCTCCATCCCCATCACAACTGATTTGTTCTGGGCCCCTTTTCCCCAGAGCCCTGCTAAGTGTCTGAGTGATTTCATGTGCTAATCTGAACTAAGGCTTACCCAGCTACTCTGCTCCATGATCTTGTCCACCTCTGAGATTATGTAGCCATTGGCTCTACCCTTCACTTGACACCAGTCACACACTAATACATACTACTGGTCAGCCTTACTTGTATAAATGTTTAGTCTCTGTAACTAGATTGTTTCTTAAATGTGAAGCATACTCTAATGGCCAACTGTTTCCATGCATCCCCCATCAGCACCTGACCCAGTGCCTAGTATATAATGGGTGATAAATTCTTGCTGATGAACAAGAAGGAGTCAAGTGTATCTCCCAGAAAAGCACATAGCTAGCTGCTTGAACAAGACATCCTGGACTTTCACATTCAATCCCATTTAGCTTCATAACTGTTTTGAAAGAGGGGAGAGCAGAGAGGAAATTTGCAAAGATGGGACTAGCAATGGCAGCCCTATCTGAGTTTTGAAAGTAGGCCAAGTCCTTATTTGATGGCCAACCCTTTCTCCCATCTTTCCCCATTGCTGGCAAACCCTGAGGAAGAAAGGCGCCAGGTAAAGTCACTCGAAAGTACAATCTAAGGCATGACCTCCCCTGGATAGAAGCAGTGCTTACCTCACATGAAGCACCACTGGTAGAACGTCAGGCAGATGAAACCTGGGTGAAGCTACTGGGGACAGGCTGTTTTTCACCAAGGGCCTTTCAGACTCACTGCCTCCTTTGTCCACCGTACATCATACTGAAGTCTCTTCAGCAGCCTTCTCCTCCCTTTCTCCTCTCTCCTCTCTCCTAAACTCCACCACCGGCCGCTACTAAATTGCATTTTCTTCCATTGCTCTGACAATTGCTGTGGTAAGTCATATATCAGTAACTATAACAACAGGCTGCCACAGTGCTGGAGCCCTGCCTCTCTGGGAGATAGAGACAAGATTTGTTTACCTGGGAGCAGTCAGGGATGTGAGCAAACACAGGACTCCTGAAGGACCTTGGGTCCAGCTGGGCAGGCTACTCCCAGGAAGGCACTCTTCACACACACAGAATCCAAACACCTGTCCCTTTTCATGGAGGCCCTCCCCCAGCTCGCCAAAGGATAGGGCACAGCTGACCTCCATCAATCTTGGGTGGATAAACTAGTCCCCTCTTTGGCTTTATTGAGCAAGGAGTTTGGCCTCAGGTTGGCAGTAAGACCCCCTCTGCCGTATCCTTACCCCAGCCCATCATGCTTTTCTTCCTCTTCTAGCCTATCAAAACTGCTCTCAGATAAAGACTGGAGGCTGGGTGTACATGGCTCACCCTGGCTTCAAGTATCTTCACTCACATGGACACCTGCATTTTTAATAGGTACCAAATCTTAAAGTAAAAAGGGTGATGCTCTATCAGATAGAATTTCCTGCACCAGACAACAAGTAGAAGACTCCGTGCGTGTGTGCACATGTGTGTTATTCTGTGGTCTTCTTGCTACTCCAGAAAACCAACCCTCTTGGAAGCACCCACTCCCTAACCACTACAGCCTATTTCCTTAGGGTTAGATGTTGGCCACCTGTGGGATTTGTGATTCCTTGGGGAAAACACTCAAATAGTTCTCATTATTCTCTGTAGTCTCTCAAAAAATTTTGGACTACAGAAGGTTTAATACCAGCCTATTGCTTGTCCATGAAACCTACCGCCTTTGGCCCACTGACTCTTGGAACCGCTAGAGGAGCATCGTCAGCAGGGGGCGCAAATCCAGCTCCAATCCAGAGAGGAGTCTCGTGTCTGTCTATGGTCAAAACCAGCTCAAAGATGAAGCTTTGTGCATATGGAGAACTTGTCAAAATACAGATTCCTGAGCCCCAATCCATACCTACAGAATTAGAATCTTGGGGTTTGGGCCTGGAATCAGCATGTTAATAAGCCCACCCCCAACCCGTTTCTAGGTAAGAGGTCTATGTGACTCTCTGTATTCATCTCCTAGGGCTGCCATAACAAAGTACGGCGAACTGGGTGGCTTAAAAGAAATGTATTCTCACAGTTCAAGAGGCCAGAAGTCCGAAATGCAGGTGTTGACGGGCCTGGTTCCTTCTGGAGGCTCTAAGAATCTGTTCCATGCCGTGGCTTGTAGCTGTGTCACTTCATTCTCTGCCTCCGTCATTATATGGGGTTCTCCTCCGTGCCTTTCATCTGTGTGGTTGTGTCCAAATCTCCCTCTCCTGTCTCTTATAAAGACACCAGCTGTTTGATTTGGGCCCGCCCTAATCCAGGACTAACTCATTTCAACTTGATTACATCTGCAAAGACCCTTTTTCCATATAAGGTCACATTCACAGGTACCAGGTGTCAAGACTTGAACATATCTTTTGTGGGGATACAGTTCAACCCACTCCACTCTCGATGAGAAATACTAGCCTAGACAAGTAGTTTTCAAACATTTTCAGTAGCGGAGTCTTTCATTCAATGAAATCCTACGGAGACGTAAAACAAAACAGACCCAAGCAGAGCTGCCCTAGTTTAAGTGCAGGTCAGGGCCAAAAGCCCCACTTCTTCACACACACACACACACACACACCCACCCACCCACCCATAACTCCTTGGCCCTGAGAAGAAAGCATAACTGGAAAACCACTGGTCTAGAAGACAGAATGACAGACTCTAATTTGGAGTTTGAGGTGCTAGCCAGCTTGTAGCTAACAGGGTGACCTTGGGCAAGTCATAAGGTCTTTTACAAGTGTCCAGTTATAGAATCACCCTACAACTCAATTTCCTCATCTATAAAATGAAGCTCACAATGCCCACCCCTACCTAATATAGAGGGCTGTTGTGAGGAAGAAGTAAGATAAAGATATAGTAAAGTCTTCTGCAACAGAAGTTAATGCTAGACAGAGTTCAATGACTTATCTTCAGCTTCACTCCATCAGTTTGACTTAGCCTGTCATATTGTGTGGAGAGACCAGCTGGTAAGTGGTGCTCACCACAAGGCACCGCCAGTACGGTGACAGGGAGAGCCTCTTCTCCTGCCATGACCCCACATTCCTCCCTCCTTGTTCACTGGAGTCTAAGGATTTGAGCAACAGGGAGGTAGAGCTGCTGGCCTCGGCATCAACAGCCCACCCAAGGAATTTTCTTTCTTGGTCACTTGCGTCAATGCAGGGAGGTGGCAAGAGGCTAAGCCAACCTTCTCCCCATGGCCCGCCCCTCTGGACTCTGCCATAATTACTCATTTGTCTGTGGCAGATGGCTCCAAATTAAA